AAGCTAAATAACCATGAAATCATGAGTTCTCAGTGTGAAAGGGATTTGGGAGTTCTTGTGAGTAGTAGTCTTAAGCCAAGAGAGCAATGCACAGCAGTCAGAAATAAAGCAAACAGAATTTTAGGATTTATCTCAAGAAGCGTCAGCAATAGGACGGAAAAAGTTATTTTGCAGCTCTATCTTGCATTAGTTAGGCCCCATTTAGATTATGCTGTGCAATTCTGGTCACCCTATTATAGAATGGAAATTGAATCCTTGGAGAGAGTGCAACGAAGAATGACCAAGATGATACACAATATCAGAAATCTACCATATGAGGACAGATTAAAAAAACTTAATCTACATTCTCTAGAGAGGCGAAGAGTTAGGGGGGATATGATTGAAGTGTATAAATGGTTTAAAGGGATTAACAAGGGAGATATTAATAAAGTTTTAAAAATTCATGATCAAACCAGAACTCGTAATAATGGATTTAAGCTTGATAAATTTAGGTTCAGAAGGGAAATTGGTAAAAATTGGTTTGGTAATAGAGTAGCTGATGCATGGAACAAGCTTCCTAGTAGGATAGTAAATGCCAATACCTTAGACACCTTCAAATGTAGATTAGATAGACATATGACAGAGGTAGGGTGGGTATGAATAGGTTAGTGCTTATTAGAAAAATCATAAAAAGAAAAACAGAATAAATAAGTAGAGTAGAATAAAATAGGTTAGACATGCTGAAAATACAATTCAAAAATGGAGCTGCCTCGTGTGTGCCAGTAGGCATGTTGCAGTGTCCTCTATTCTTATGTTCTTATGTTCTTATGTTCTTATCAAACCACGTGTTCTTTCACCTATGACAAAAACGTTAAAAGTGATTGAAAAACGTTCTCTAAACTTGAAAGTAAACGCACCTATATGACGTAATCCAATAATAGATTTTGATTGGTTGATATAAATGACAGCGAGGTTTTGATTGGCTAAAGAAAAATAACAACTAAAGTACCCATTACACTTATGATAATTAAATTGTTTTAAAGATTTATTTCGGTGTATACGGTAGGGATTAGTATACTATATACGTCCTTATGGAGATATACAATATGGCGTATATCGAAAAAGATTATTTTTGTATGTATTTTTACGTATTTAATGGTGTATGAGACTAAATTCTAAACGAGAGATTTGAAAGGGATAATTGCTTACTCTTTCACACCACAACGAGTGAACTGAAATTACAAAACAGTAAAGTGTTTACAGTACCTTAAGAAAAATACTATTAAATTATCAAATATTTTGTTTTTTAAATGGGGAACAACTAACCTTGCTAACCTAACAAAACCTCACCTAATACTGTAATAAAAGTTCACGAGATTCTTACTAACAGGGGTGTGAAAAAAAAAAAAAAAAAAAAAAAAAAAAAAAAAAAAAAAAAAAAAAAAAAAATATATATATATATATATTATATATATATATATATATATATATATATATATATATATATATATTTACAGGGATTATTAGAAAAGATAACTCCTGCGGAAAGATTTTTCTCAGCAACACCTTCCGGTTTTACGTCACGGACTCTTGTTTTTTCAGATGTAATCGTTACCCTGAGTGCATGCCTTGCTAACCTCAGACCGTGATGGGGCGCTAACCCTCGACCTGACGCCTCAAAGTCGCGGACGCTACCGCTTGAGCAACGGTGACTACATTTTTCTCAGTAACATAGCAAGCAAGAATTTGCAAGCATATCTTACTTTATTTCAATGCTAAAATATTTTTACTTATCCACTGTGAGATATATATATATATAACCAATATGGCGGATAAAGGCATGTAATTCAGTAACAACATGTGAAGCATAAATAAATGTTCCTGATGTAGTCACCGTGGCTCAAACGGTAGCGTCCGCAACTCTGAGGCGTCAGGTCGAGGGTTCGCGCCCAGTCACGGTCTGAGGCTAGAAAGGGCATGCACTCAGGGTAACGATTATATCTGCCAAAGCAATTCCTTCGCAAAAAGGCAACCGTCATAGCCATTGGTTGAAAAGGGAGTCCGTGACGTAAAACCGGAACAAATAAATATTCCTGATATGGTTATTCTAACACACCTTATAATTTACTCTCTATAGGGGGGTTTACACGGTCAAACGGTTCGTCGAACGCGGTTCGACAGACAAGTGTTTGAAGAGATGTTCGAACGTGTGAACGGGATATTTGGTTGTCGAACACGTTCGACAAACGTGTTCGACAACCAAATACCCCGTTCACACGTTTGAACATCACTTCAAACACTAGTCTGTCGAACCGCGTTCGACGAACCGTTTGACCGTGTAAACCCCCCTTAAGTGTGTTGAATTCACAGTGTTACCTACCACAGGAGAGTAGCCACTACCCTCTCCTTCTACTCCCAAAATGGTTCCAGTGATTAAAGACACCAGAAAGGCAACCATTGGCTGTTGGACTAGTGACCTCCTGCTTGTAAGCCAGACGCTGGATCCACAGAGCTAAGGCAGGGTGGAGCATCTTGTGAATAAGATGTTATTAAGTAATAAAAATAGCTAAACTTATTAATAAATTATTTTAATGACTAAGTTAAATAGCTCAGATTTTATTCCAAAGAATGTCAGTTCTCTCTCTCTCTCTCTCTCTCTCTCTCTCTCTCTCTCTCTCTCTCTCTCTCTCTCTCTCTCTCTCTCTCTCTCTCTCTCTCTCTCTCTCTCTCTCTCTCTCAAGAAAAAATGCTTGTGAGTGTGTGTGTACATGCATGTGTGTGAGGAGAGAGAGAGAGAGAGAGAGAGAGAGAGAGAGAGAGAGAGAAGAGAGAGAGAGAGAGAGAGAGCAATGCAGAAGAAATGCGTTCGTCGCATTCATAAAATTCTAAAAGAGAACATCCCGTATATAATGAAGCAGGTGAGGTCCAGAACTAATGGAAGTCTTGCTCACGTATTCTAGCTAAATGCAGCCTCACATATAATGAATTCTCTTCACCTGCATTGCTACATGTACGGCCAATACATTTTTCACAGGCGTAAAACAACTCTCCCATGACCAACACTAACACGGTAGGAATACTCGTTTGGAACGAGAATAAGGGGGGTTTACACGATCAAACGGTTCGTCGAACGCGGTTCGACAGACAAGTGTTTGAAGTGATGCTTGAACGTGTGAACGGGGTATTTGGTTGTCGAACACGAAAGGGGGGTTTACACGGTCAAACGGTTCGTCGAACGCGGTTCGACAGACAAGTGTTTGAAGTGATGCTCGAACGTGTGAACGGGGTATTTGGTTGTCGAACACGAAAGGGGGGTTTACACGGTCAAACGGTTCGTCGAACGCGGTTCGACAGAAGTGTTTGAAGTGATGCTCGAACGTGTGAACGGGGAATTTGGTTGTCGAACACTAAAAGGGGGCTTACACGATCAAACGGTTCGTCGAACGCGGTTCGACAGACAAGTGTTAGAAGTGATGCTCGAACGTGTGAACGGGGTATTAGGTTGTCGAACACGTTCCGTGTTCGACAACCAAATATCCCGTTTACAAGTTCGAACATCACTTCAAACACTTGTCTGTCGAACCGCGTTCGACGAACCGTTTGACCGTGTAAACCCCCCTTAATAGTAGTAAAATAGTAAGAATATGAATGAATAAAAGACACGGGATAAATAAATGGTAGTAGTGGAGCAATAATAAGAATACACAGGAGCAATATATGGTATCAGAAGAGCAAGGAGCTAAGAGGAATGATTGAGGTGCGTCTTGGCTCTTGGTGAATGTGTTCTTTGGCTCGGCCAGCCCCCTTACAAAGGGGAATTGGGCCACTGTATATAGATTTAGATAGAAGAACAGGAGTAGTTAAAGAGGACAATAGTATGAATGGAGAGAGATGAAAAACAGTTACGGAGGAGTAACACTGTAGTCGATGAGTAGGAACACGAGGCGTAATATAGTCGGTAATCTAGTAGTAATACAAGAGTAACACGGTAGAGGGGCAGGAATACGTGTAGTAACACAGTAGGAAAACTACATACAAGGCCTTGAAATAGAAAACAAGAAAAGTAGTAACATGATGGTCGAAGAGTAGGAATATGAATCGCAAAATTACAGAAAAACCTGAATAAATCGATGTTGTTAAAGAGAGGTAATTCTTGTACTACAATGGAAAATTAAATAGAAAGATGTGACTCCAGAGAGGAACGGAGCAGGATGTACTGAAATAACTTTTTCCTTCTCTTATAACTGGAAATTAGAGCACAAAGGGAAAAAATCAAGTTAAGAAGAATAAAACAAGAACATCATTGAGGTGTTTTGACTAAAGGAAAGTTCAGTAAAATAACCTTGGAGAGAGAGAGAGAGAGAGAGAGAGAGAGAGAGAGAGAGAGAGAGAGAGAGAGAGAGAGAGAGAGAGAGAGAGAGAGAGAGAGAGAGAGAGAGAGAGAGAGAGAGTAGAATGACATCTTTCACAATTAATGTCAAGTAAAGACAAGTCCATAACTCAAACCTACACTGTAAACTACAATTACCAATGCAGGTCACTGGCAAAGATCAACAAGGGGCGGCAGCGAGGGTTATTAATTATGCAATCGGGTTAAAAGCAGCTCTTCACAATCAATTAGTTGTGTTCGGCATCAACAATAACAGTTACCCACCTAAATTACCTATCTATCTATCTATCTATCTATCAACCTGTGCATCTATCTGTTCCGGTTTTACGTCACGGACTCCCTTTTCTACCAAGGTCTAGGACGGTTGCCTGCTTGCGAAGGACTTGTTTTGGCAGATGTAATCCTTACCCTGAGTGCATGCCCTTGCTAACCTCAGACCGTGACGGGGAGCGAACCCTCGACCTGAAGCCTCAAAGTCGCGGACGCTACCGCTTTAGCCACAGTGATTACACCTGAGCATCTATCTGTGATTTTTCTAATATCTTTTTATATTGCAATTAAACCCCATATCAATGGTTGTGAACACACATGCTTGAGATATATGGGTAGCAACGCTGGATGCCGTTCTTAACGCCCCGTGGGGGGATCGAACCAGCGTTTTCCAGGCTCGTCACTTCCCGACTTGCCAGCTCTACCACTAAGCTACCGAGGCTCCAAAACTATCTATCCATATATAAGAGCAAGTGAGGAGCTGAAAGCGATCTCTGCCTCCCATAGTGCATTGACTATTTCTGCAATGTTCCGGTTTTACGTCACGGACTCCCTTTTCTACTAAGGGCTAGGACGGTTGCCTTCTTGCGAAGGACTTGTTTTGGCAGATGTAATTGTTACCCTGAGTGCATGCCCTTGCTAGCCTCAGACCGTGACGGGGCGCGAACCCTCGACCTGACGCCTCAGAGTCGCGGACGAAACCGCTTGAGCCACGGTGACTACTATTTACTATTTCTGTCATAAATTTCATTTTCTTCTTTCTTCCCCTGGGGTAGGGACAAGAATGCTACCTCTGTGTTCCCTTAAGTATCGCAAAAGTCAACTACATGGGTTGGACTGAGGGAACTGAGAAGCCCTTCCTTAGTAGCTTCCTCCCGAAAAGAGTGAAGGTTTTGTTAGGACTCGACCAACCCGTTTTCAAGGGGATTATGACCCTTATAAACAGCAAGATTATGGGAGTGGTCGAGTCAAAGCAAAATATTTATATTTAGCACGGGGAAAATACAAAAGAGGGGTTCACTCTTTCCTAGCCCCGCCCCATTTATTCGACTTTTACGACATGACGGGGAACACGGAGGCAGTTTTATCGTCTCATATTAACGAAGATAAATGAAAACTAAACTGATGACATATGATCATTTTAAGAGCAATAAATACTGTTTATTACTGATTTCCTAAAATGAGATGACTCTCTCTCTCTCTCTCTCTCTCTCTCTCTCTCTCTCTCTCTCTCTCTCTCTCTCTCTCTCTCTCGTATCTAGAGATGATATCTCGTATACGAGATGAATACTGAATATACACTACGAGTTCAGCATAAATCACCCGGCCACCGCCTGCTCCCCTACTTCCCCCCCCCCTTCCCGAACTTCTTCTTCCTCTCCTTTTTCTTCTTCTTTTTTTTCTTCTTCTTTTACTTCTATTTCTTTGAGTTTTTCTTTCTTTTTCTTCTTCTGCTTCGTCGTTTCCTTTTCTTCCTCTTCTTCTCCATCTACTTCGTCTTCTTCTTCTGCTTCTTCTTCTTCTTCTCCTTCTACTTCTTCTTCTGCTTCGTCGTTTCCTTCTTATTTTTTCTTCTTCTTCTGCTCTGAACGCTTATCTTAGGTTTGCAATCATATATCTTGCTTACAAACCCCAAAATAGTTAAATTGTCGCCAAGACAAGAGTAATTTACTCCTTCTTGTGACAATTTAACTTCATTATAATAGCAGGAAAAGGGGGATTTAATAGCTTTTAATAGCTTTTTAATAGCATTTAATTAGAATATATATATATATATATATATATATATATATATATATATATATATATATATATATATATATATGTGTGTGTGTGTGTGTGTGTGTGTGTGTGTATAAAAATGTACAGAACGATAGATAGATAGATAGATAGATAGATAAACAGACAGAGAGAAAGATATATAGATTGACAGATAGATAAAGTTAACCTTAGCTACAAAGTGAAATAAAGAAATGTCGGAGCACCTTAGCGATTATGGTATATCTATCTTCTAATCTTTAGATACCTCTGATGATGTGTATATAAACGTACTCGTCAGTGCTAAGGTAACCAGGTTACCTGTCTTTCCTTAGTAATCAAAATAATCATATTTACAACATACACGTGATTCTCGTGAAACACATTCCTGCGCAGCATGTAAGTGTGCGTGTCTGTATATATATATATATATATATATATATATATATATATATATATATATATATATATATATATATATATATATATATATATATATATATATATATATATATATTATCTATAAGTCGCCGTGGCTCAAGCGGTAGCGTCGTCGACTCTGAGGTGTCAGGTCGAGGGTTCGCGCCCCGTCACGGTCTGAGGTTAGCAAGGGCATGCACCCAGGGCAACGATTACATCTGCCAAAACAAGTCCTTCGCAAGAAGGCAACCGTCCTAGCCCTAGGTAGAAAAGGGAGTTCGTGACGTAAAACCGAATCCATTACTATTATCTATACACCTTGGCTATTTCCCCCATTGGGGGGTAGCCGACATCAAAAAAGAAACAAAACTAGAGTTTGGGGAGAAGTTACTCTCCCCTCTACTCCCCTTCTTTGACGTCTCGCGGGAGGTTACTACAGGGGGGGGGGATTCCCAGTCCCCTCGCCCAGTCCACTTTTAGTCGCCTCTTACGACACGCAGGGAATACGTTGGGGCTATATATATATATATATATATATATATATATATATATATATATATATATATATATATATATATGTATGTGTGTGTGTGTGTGTGTGTGTGTTAAAACTGGTCAACTCTTTTCAGTGAGGAAGCACATCATATCCTCGCAATGACCATGTGGAACTAATGCACCACAGCACCAGGTTCCCTCAAATTCTGGTCCTCATAACACTACCAGCATTTAACCCGCCGAGGCACTGATGCTTTCCCGCCCTTTCCCCTCTTTGGCACTCAGGACAGCGTGAAAAGACTACTGTAAGCTCAGCAGCGAGGGTCAGTACCTGCGTAAAGTAAGAATGTAAATAAGCTGTTGTTTTGACCCATCCATCCAACTTGTTAAGTAGAGCAGAGAAATTGGAAACGGAAAATAGGTCTATGAGAGAATTCCTATCTTCGCTTTGAGAAGATTTTATTTATACTTTCAGTTTCATAACATAATTATTATGAACAGCCGAATGTAACAATATGTCTTCTTATTGTGGTTGTGGGTGCAGGTGTGTGTATGTATTTACCTAATTATGCTCCTAGAAACAAGCCCTATTTTTTGTAATTCCCCGTCTCTTGGTTGGTTTCCTGATCCAACGACACAGTGTTTCCTTACATATGTAAATGCCTTTAGCAAACACAATTTCTTCGCTTAGCATATATTGTGTGTGTGTGATTACCTAATTGTGATTACCTAATTGTGTTTACGGGAAAGAGCCCAAAGCTCGTATCTTCCCGTCTCCTGATCGGTTCCATTTTAGACTTAGTGATACTTATCGTACCTGTCCTTAAAACTATGGATTGAGATAGCATTAACTACCTCCTCGCTTAGCGAATTCCAATTATCAACTACTCTTACACTGAAAAAGTATTTCCTTACATCCTGCAAAGAAGTTTTCTTACGAAGCTTCAAACTATGGCCTCTAGTTCTAGAGCCAGCCATATCGAAATATCGATCCCTATCCACTCTATCATAACCATGAAAGAATTTAAAGACTGTCACCATATCCCCCCTTACTCTTCTAGCTTCGAGTGATGGCAAGTCTAATTCCCTCAGCCTCTCATCATAACCGAGATTGCGTATTTCTGGCACCAGTTTCGTGGCATGTCTTTGAACTTTTTCAAGCTTAGCTATGTGCTTTTTCAAGTGCGGATTCCAAAAGGGGGCTGCATATTCGAGTTTTGGCCTCACATAGGTTACATAAATATGCATGAACATTTCCTTGTCCATGTGCCTGAAGGCTACCCTTACATTTGATAAGAATGCATATGCTGCCCTTACTACGCCATTTATATGTATTTCTGGAGACAAATCTGCCAGTATGTTTACTCCTAGATCTCTCTCATTTTCTGTCTCTTGAAGTTGTACTCCAGCCACCGAGTAGTCAAGCTTGGGCCTTCTTGCACTTGTACCCATTCTCATTACCTTACATTTTGAGGTATTGAATTTCATTAGCCACTTTTCTGACCACTCATGCAGATTATTTAGATCCTCCTGAAGTTCTCTACCATTGTTCTCGTTTTTTACTTTCTTCACAATCTTTGCATCATCTGCAAACATATTCATGAATGAATTTACAGACTCTGGTAGGTCATTTACATATACAAGGAACAAAAGTGGCCCTAAAACTGAACCCTGTGGAACTCCACTACTAACTCTTCTCCATTCAGACACTGAGTGTCTTACTCTAACCCTCTGTTCCCTTCCTTCTAAGTAAGTTTTTATCCATTCCAAAACATTTCCACCTATTCTAGCCATCGAGTGCAGCTTCCTAATAAGTCTCCCATGTGGAACAGTGTCAAACGCTTTCTGGAAGTCTAGGAATATGCAATCTGCCCAGCCCTCTCTTTCCTGTAAGATTTGGCTTACCTCATCATAAAATTCTAATAAGTTTGTTACTGTTGATCTACCTTCTCTGAAGCCATGTTGCCTCACTGACAAAAAGTTGAAGGATTCCAAGTGAAGAGAGATATAGAGCCGTATCCCTCCTTCCCTTTTTGAAGATAGGTATCACATTTGCTTGTTTCCAGCATCTTGGAATCTCCCCCCGACTCCAGTGACTCCTTAAATATGATACTTAGTGCCACTGATATTGTGTTTGCGCATTTTTTAAGCACATGAGGGGATATGTCATCAGGACCTGTAGCTTTATGAACATCGAAATCCATCAGCGGTTTGCATACCTCTGTGGCTGTAAGGTTGATGTTCTCTAATACCGGCCCTTGAGCTTCTATCACTGCAATCTGAGGGGGTGGGGTATTTTCTACTGTAAATACTGACTGAAACTCCTTGTTCAATTCTTTGCAGTTCTCTTCGTCCGTCTCAGTGATGCTTCCATCCGCTCTCTTTAGCCTTAAAACCTGTTCTTTTACCTTCAGTTTTCCTCTGATAAAGCTGTGGAAAAGCTTGGGATTTTCTTTAGCCTTCCTGGTGATGTCCCTCTCATAATCTCTCTCTGCCTCTCTCCTTTTACTTAGGTAGTCATTTCTTGCTCTTTTGTAGGTTTGCCAGGCATTTATGTTTTTTCTCCTCCTATACCTTTTCCAGCATTTGTCTCTCCACTCCTTAGCTCTTTTACACCCATTATCGAACCATTTCTCTCTGGCATGAATTACACCTACTTTGGTGACAGGTATGCAGCAATCTACTATCTTCCCATATTTCTCACAAAAGATGTCATACATTTCTTGTACAGATTTGTTGTAAAATAAGGTTCTCCAGTCAATAACTGCA